AGGATGGAGGGTGGTGATGAAGCAGGGCCAGCTGCAGGGGTTCGTGTGATGACTCTGAGCTCAAACAAACTGATGATGCATGGCTGGATTAAACTGCTTGGAAGCACCGGGAGAAACATTTGCTGTTGGGCCCCTGTTACGTCTTGTACAGCACACACAGCAATCTGTAGATGGCAGCTTCATTATATTTTGCAGACAAGCCAACCAACTGGTACTTGTATAGATGGTGCCTGCTTTGCCCATGCTGTCTCGGTCACCATATCTAGCGGGGCCTCTCTCTGTTTTGTCTGTATGCCATCTTGCCTGCAACTCATGTCGGCTTTAGTGAAACATCTCATTCAAACACTGGATGATGTGAGATACTGTGACAAACAGGATCCTCCTGGAGTGTGAAGTGGTTGCAATGGCCCTTGCAGCTGAGCCGTGTGCAGTGCTGGAGGGGCACACAGGATGGAGCTCAGCAGTGGGCTTATCCTGACCCTCAAGCCTGTGGGCCGGAAGAGTGGGGCCGTGGTTCACTGCCATTCTGAATGGCCCCCAAGAGTCCAGTCTGATGGACAATCCAGGGCTGCACACACTGGTGTATCAGGGCTTCTTGGACTCTCTCCTCTCTATCTTTTCTCTCTCACACACACAATGTCACATGTAGACACACAGTCTCTCACACAAGTGTGCTTTTCTCCCTCTTGTGATCCTGATGTAGTGAATTTAGCCTCTGCTGCAAGGCCTGACATTGTCATTACAGTCACTGGCTTGTCTGTGTTTCTTTCTACATATATTTTTCACTGTCTCTCTTCTTCTTTCTTGCGCTGTAGCGCTGAGTTGAAGAGTGGAGACTCTGAAAGTGATGTCTAACCAGGAGTATTAGTCAATGAGCATGTGTGAAAGTCATCAACAAGGAAAGGCCCAACATGACCTTCATTCATAGTGGTCCACTCAAAACAAGCCAGTAGGATCCATTTAGCACAAGCTTGTGGTTTAGAGAGTCCCAGGTAGAGTGTGGATACCCTGAGCCCAACAGGACCAGTTGGTCCTTGAGTGTTCAGACAGAAATTTAGAAATTATGGTCAAGTCAGGCTTGGTTTGGGTTCGGACAGAAATATGCAACCTGATCTATGTTCTAGTCCCAGGCTCCTACTATTATTCCTTCTGGAGGAAGATTTAAGATTAAGTTTACATTGCCATATCTTGCATTCTGTGAAATCCCACAGTACCCTCAAAGAAAATAGCCTGTACTATAGAGCATGGTGGATTTACTAATACTGGCTATCTGTCATATAACTCTCAAATACACAATATGGGTTACAGCCAGGTTAACTATGTCCAGCTCTCTGGGTGCTGGCTCTTGGCCTATGTAATATTAGAGTGGTATTGGCAAGAAAGTGAATAACTGAATTTCCCCAAATGTCACATTATTCCTTGAACCCAACAGTACAGCCCCACCTCCCTCAAAATAGAAAGAAAACAACAAAACTAGGGCCAAGAAATCATTCTGAGACGTGCAGCTTTCTTTGAACATAATATTTCACATATCTTGCAATTACTTTAAAGTCCCACCGCTGCCCAATGAGTTTTATTTTACTTTGATGCAAACTGCTGTCCCCACAGTCTTCAGTGCAGGATTGCGTATCAATGGTGCTGAGCTTTGATGTCTGTCTCCCCTGATGTCTAATACCAAGATTAAAGCCTTCACATAGGTGAACAGAATGGTATTCCTGAGACTGCTAATAGCTGAACCACTTCAGTGGGTCGTTTCTAGTGCCAGTATTGTCAGCCAGAAGAGAGTTGTATTAACCTGCCACCATGTCGACTCCAGCTGTGAAAATACTACCTTGGATTTATTGACGGGGAAAGAGGAGAGTGGTGGTTACATGGTTAACATAATATTTTATAGCATTTCATATTTGGTACAGATTACCTAGAGATGGTTTGGTTCTCATAGCTTTGGACATCTGTAGACCCCCTGTGTGAAGGCAGACTGGGTGTCATGGGGATATCATGGCATCCGGGGCTGTGCCGTCAGTTTTTAAACAGCTGATCTGGGAATAGTGAAAAATTTCAAAGCAGGGTATGAAACCAAGCAGATGCTTAAGCAGTCATGCTGATTCTCATCTTTGACTTGTCACAACTGATTGCAGTCAAATGAATTTATAATAAGCTAGTGTGATTGCTCTGTTACTATGTGCACATTTAATAGGAGAGATTTGCTAACAGAGACAAAACCCTAAGCACATGTTTTGTATGGAAACCCTTTGTCTTTTCAGAAGGGTGAACTTCATTGCCAGGAAAGTATGTTGTGTGGCTGAGGAATCATTCAGTATTACACAGCTTCTAACAGCGAGAGCTTGTGGATACACAGTCTGCCTCCAGATCAGCACTACCTGACAGTGACATCTCCTACAAGAGCTGCACTTCTTTTAAATGGACATGTATTTACTTTGCAGCTGGGCTCAATATCCTGTGGAGCTCTGTGCTCTTAACTCCTAGCAGCCCACTCACCCTCCCTGACATGCTCATCACAGAAATGTGGGCTGCGGCAGAAGTTAGTGACTCCGCTGCGGGCACATTCACTGAGCTGTGGTTAACATGCTGCTATGGTAACTCCTATTCACCCACCATAGGACAAACATGTTTTTATCTCCCTGTACTACACAAACGGTCAGGATGAAGCATCTGACTGCAAAAGTATTGGCCCAGCAGCAGAATATTTGTTTTAATTTCCTTTGCTACAGCAAACAGTACAAACATGGATGAACTTCCAGGATTCTCGCCTCATGAAGAAGCAAGTAGAAAAGAATTTCTGGTTTATTTTTCTTAACACAAACAGAACGTTGTGCTCAAGTTTTATGCAGCCTCCCAATACATGGTATTCCTTTTGCTACTACATACACAAAATGGCTGAAAAAAAGGACCTCTGTTTGAATAAGACGGATTCAAGAAGAAATGGTATTAGCCTCTATTTATCCTCTTGCTTTTAACATCCCAAATTATGCATAGACTGCATAAAATACTTTTTTATGCTGTTGATATGGAACAGATTGTGTGTGGGTCTTTTGGAAACTTCTGTAAAGATGGCTTCTATTATGTACATGCACACTGCCTTGTCCAGTCTATATATGTGAGCTTTGCTTGGGTAACGATAGTGTCACTTTCCAAAGCCTTCTCAAAGATCATTACTGTTGCATTATTTTTTCTGGGAGTTTGTCTTTGCGATTTATAATATAACATTACAGGACTTCCTAAAGCTGCACTGATTGATGATTTGGCTGCTTGGGGACAGGGCACTAGCTGAAATGGCGAACGTTTGAAAACAATGCCCATTTATATATCCAACAGATACAAGGCAAGGTGTGCTTGCATGTACCTGATCACCTGATTGATCAGTAAGACCAACCTGTGTCACTTGACACAGTTATTTGCAGTGGTGCAGAAGTACTCATACTGTTGACTTAAGCTTAGCAATACCACAGTGTAAAATATGATGTTACAAGTAAAAGTCTTGCATTCAAACTGTTAAATATTAGCAGAAAGCAAAAATATTAGCAGAAAATGTACACCAAGTACCACAAGTAACTCATTAGGCAAAATGGTGCAATTTACATCATATTTGATTATAAATATTGATGTAGGTCTATTATTGTGTACATAACATTTAAGCATTGTAGCTGGTAAAGGTGTAGCTAATTCTAACCACCTTATTTATGTGCTTATAAATTGAAGTACTGCTGAGTCGCTTGTGTGTTTTACACCAAGGATCAATCAATCTTGTGATTATACTATATTTTGTTTTATTAACCTCTTTCTGAAAAGTAACTAGTAATGAAAGTCATCAAATAAATGTAGTGAGTACAAAGTACAACATTTTACTTTAAAATGTAGTGAAGTAACAGGAAATGAAAATCTGCAAGTAAAGTACAGATGCCTCAAAATTGTACTTGAGTAAATGTGCGTAGTTACTTTCCACCTCTGGTCATTTGATCCATTGTTAACATAATAATTCATTTTCGGCTGCTCCCATGAGGGATCACCACAGCAAATTGTCACACTGACGACTCGCATGGTGAAGTCTGGCACGTGTTTTACGCCAGATGCCCTTCCTGACGCAACCCTGAATCGAACTCGGGGTGCAGCGGTGAGAGCGCTGAATCCTAGCCAGTAGTCCATCAGGGACCTGATCCATTGTTAATATACACTGTATAAACTTAAGTTGCAGTGTGACATCAGGCATATGTGAGAGCTTTACAGCAAACAGCTGCTGACCCTGTATGTCCTTTGACTCAACAACATCCATTCAGCCACAGGTGGATCTGATTGGAAGCACACTGTGGTTTGTTTGCATGCATCCAAAGACAGTGCATTGTAGTGACTGGCTCAGTTTCACAAAGCATATGAACACGCTGGATGAGACAAACCCACCTGGGTCACTTCATTCCCTCTTTGTGAGTTGTCTCCGATTTCCATTACAGCTTGGCAGGCACCCATTGCTCTGACCTGCCGGATGGTCATTAGTGCTCTTTAAGTGTAGCGATGACTTGTCACATGAAAGGGAGTGTAGAGTGTAAAAACTCGATGGCACACAGCAAGATGTACTGTTTCTGCTGGTACTTTTACGTTGTAGGAAAAGAAAGAAGCACACTGCAGCGAATGTGACCACAGGCAAATTCTGTGAAAGCTATTCTGAACAGACATGTCTGCTTTGTCTGCACCATTTCCTTTTTCAGCACTGAGGATGAGATTGTTCTTTAATGTCCAGGGTGTACCCCGCCTCTTGCCCAGTGTGTACTGGGGCAGGCTCAATGGATGATTCATGGAAATATTCTCATATTTCATTTCCTTGAGATCACCCTCTGTTTTACAAGTAAAAGACAGCTCCTTATATGGACTTTATGGATATTTGAGGCTGGTGTTGAGAGAATTTGATATATTATTGTCTTAAATTTTGGTTTAAAAGACTTTCATGATGACAAATCACATATTTCTTTTTTCTGTTTTTTGCACAGGTTGCTTTGAGTGCTGCATTAAATGTTTAGGTGGGGTGCCGTATGCATCGCTAGTGGCTACAATCCTCTGCTTCTCCGGCGTTGCCCTGTTCTGTGGATGTGGCCACGTGGCGCTCACCGACACTGTGACCATCCTGGAAACCCACTTCTCCAAGGTCCCCAGTGATCACGCCATGCTGACTGATGTGTAAGTAACCTCATACTCTATGTGTACTACACAGCTCCAGTAAGAGATAAACAAAAACTGATGATTATGACACGATAGTATCTTTAATGCCACAGTATGCTGACTGGAAAATGTGTTCTTACATAACCATCACAATAAAGAGATGTTCAAACTTAAGTTAGATAACCCTTTTAATGAGGTTGACTACAATTTTTAGCTGATAATATCTCCTGTAGAATGTTCGCCTTATCCCATAAAATGTGGACCTGTTACAGTGCATCCATTAGTCCAAACTATAATAAAAGAAACGACAAGAGACAGGACTGCACATGTTTTATGTTGGTGTAGATTTAGAACACGCTGTTTAATTTAAGAAGCCTACAGGGGAAGTCTGTTTCCTGGTGGATGACTTTCCACAGACATGCATCACCTGTTGTTGCCACATTTGGGCTCAGCATCTCCCTTCATGTCTTAGGAAAGCAAGGCCGCTGTCTGTTTATGATTAATCAACCAACCCAGGTTACTCATGTTGCGTGCAAGAAATTATGTATTTTCCACACCAGGCAGGCAGTGGTATGTCCTGCCATTACATTATCTGACATTTTTAGTGTCTTGCTCCTGGTGTGACGTTGGAGGCTGAAAATGTGTGCTTACTGTTTTGTAACCCACTACAGCTTTACTGACACCCCTTTAACTGTTGCATTGTGCTTAACAGAATACAGCTGATGCAGTACATCATCTATGGCATTGCTTCATTTTTCTTCCTGTATGGAATCATTCTGCTGGCTGAGGGCTTCTACACAACCAGTGCAGTCAAGGAACTGCACAGCGAGTTCAAGACCACCATCTGTGGACGCTGCATCAGTGGAATGGTATGCCAATACACACACACACACACACACACACACACACACACACACACACACACACACACACACACACACACACACAGTTGTGTTGAAATCTGATTTTTAAATATTGTGCACTTAAAGGTTTACTGCCATATGATTAAAATATGAAGTACACACATAGGAGTGAAGTATGAGAGAGAAGAGAATGAGGAGTCACAGTAGTTGTTACCAGTTTACAGCTGATATATTTTCATGTTTTCTGATCCTGATAACATCTCTGTGTCCTCAGTTTGTGTTCCTCACATACGTTCTGGGTGTGGCCTGGCTCGGTGTATTTGGCTTCTCTGCTGTGCCAGTCTTCCTCTTCTACAATATGTGGTCTACCTGTGCCACCATGAGGTCTCCCATAGCCAACCTCACCAACATTGACTCCATCTGCGTGGATATTCGTCAGTATGGTAAGAGAACAGCACTTTGTTCAAGAATGTCATGTTTGGCATCAATAGTTTCCAGAGTAGACGGAGCACACACTGTGGCAGCATACACTCAATACGGTATTCTTTGCACAGTCTTTAGTGTCACAATATACTTGCATAAAGTTAGAACCCTTGCTCAGTATAATTGTTTATCTAAATTATTAGCCCATAACAAGTCAACTTCTAGAAACCCAGGATTGTTTCCCACAATGCAATTCTGTTGTATTAGACCTTCCACAGTTGCTAAATGTAAGTGTTTTTCTGCACTCAGTTTGTAGCACAAACTTTCTATTATAATTTGAGGTCTCTGAGATAACCCCTGATGACATCATCATGGGTTATATTCGTAGAGCTGATAAAACTCATCCAGACCCACAAAAAGCAACAGTTTTATCAGGCTCAGGAGTAAGCCCACACCCCCTGATGAGTTAACTGATCTCCAAGTGGAAAATCAGTGTTGGCTCTTGTAAATCTGTTTATCAGATTATTTATTTTTTTTATTTTTAAGACAAAAAACCCTCAACTCAATACAGGTTGATTATTACTTGCATGGTACAATGAATAGAAAACTGAATGTATATGAAAACCTTTGAATTTAATGGCTACAGGAGTTATCCCATGGACTGCCACACCAGGAAAGGCCTGTGGATCAACGCTAGGTGACATTTGCAACACCAGTGAGGTAAGACGCTGCCTCCTATTCATCCACATTTATACAAGTGCTATAGACACATCAGCAGCAGGTGACATGGAAATCACATTCTAACTTATTAATCACCATTCCTTGTCATTTTCCAGTTCTACCTGTCTTATCACCTGTACATCGTAGCATGTGCTGGGGCAGGAGCCACAGTGATTGCTCTGGTGAGTTTCCTTCTGGCTTCTCTACTCTCTCCCTTTAGTCCATCTTTGCATGGTTTATATCAGCAGATCATGTGTCGGGTGCTCCTCTTCTCATTCCCAAATGGTTTATGTAGGAAGGAAGATTCAGTACAGGCTTTTCCTCAGCTCCTATTCCATTCGCTGTTTTACCATCTGCTTAGATGCACATGGCTTTGTTTTGACTTCAGGAGGGATGGAACAGGGGTTATCATAGATATGTCATTTGTAAAAGTTGTAATCGTGAATTTGAAAAACAAAACCACAAACAGGATATAGTAAAATTTTTACTTGGTCCTTAACATTCTTGTTGTGTACTGCTGAAAACTGACTGGTCACTTTACTAACTTGTCACAGTACTAGTGACAAGGAGGTCACCGACATGTTCTCTTACAACCTTTTCTGTTCTCTTCCACCAGCTGATCTACATGATGGCTACCACTTATAACTTTGCTGTTTTGAAGTTTAAGAGTCGAGAAGACTGCTGCACTAAGTTTTAAACTGCTGTAGGAGCACAGTATGGTATTTGAGGCCATGCTGAGTAGAAACCGCTGCCACTGACATCAGATTAACAAAACAAAAAAGCCAGATTAGAAGCAGCAACATCTCCATTAGTAATCACGACATGTAAAGAGCTGATTGTACTTAGCATTTGGCATTCAGGGATACTGCTTGTCTGTGGACACCAGATGAAAGTTGTCTTCAGAGTGTGGTGGTGTTTAGTCGACTGGTTTGTTCTGCTTTTATTGGCACTGATTTATAGAAGTACGTCACTATCAGATTATATCGTGCACAGCTTTAAATGCCACACCAGTGTTATTTATATTCCTAATGTGTGATGCTGATTTTGACCTGCACAAAGGCATAAACTGTGCAAGTAGTTAAACCAATTTTTTTTAAAAACTACACTATTTAGCATGCAATACTTCACCTTGCATAACAGGATGAGCATCAGTTGGTTGCAATCAGAGCTGAAATGCAAATAAATTTACTGACTCCTGGTGCACTTGTGAAACATAAATGGAAGATATTTGTGCAGGTTTAACACAATTTTAAATATTAAATCTAAATTCCATATGAGTCCTTTTCTGGGATGAAGACAGACTGCATCAAGGCCTTACACAGCTGTAGATGTACAGTATTAATCTCTCCATACAGAGGCTAATGAATTGCCTCTACTTGCGGCTAATGTCTGTCAGTCCTGGTCCTGGATTAGCTTGTTTGTGCAATAGATCTCCATTGTTATTCAAAAACGATTTAAAACCACAATAGGGAAACACACCGCTGCACTAGGTGACACTTTTTTTTTTTTTTTTTTTTGTAAGGAAACGCCAGGCCCGAATATGTTGCCCCAAAATATCAGTGTGGCTATAATTTCCTGAAGTTGGTATGAGTCAGTTAACTGTGAATGCGTGAGATCTTGTGCAAGCTCTCAGCCTCGTTTACATTCTACTAGCTCTTCATGCTCAGGTCTGAGGTTTGCTAATGAAGAAACATGTCACCCAGTGCAGCGGTGTGTTTCCCCTGATGGTGTTCTTAATAGGTTTTGAACAACAATGGTGGTCTACAGCACAAATGAAGCTAATCCAGGGCTGACATATATTAACCATGAGTTAGAGGTCGGTTTTGCTCGCTGTATGGAGATTGCCATAAATTTTAACACAGAAAATGACCAGCCTTTAAAACCATTAAGTGTTACATAGAAAATGTTCACTCTTATTTCTTTGTCACACATCAGATGCTAGGCTGATTTAAAATCCCTTCATTGATTGTACCAAGTCTGGCTATTATGGTGACCACTCGTGTATTATAGATTTCAGAGCAACTCCAGCTACCTAGCACAGCATACTATGAAGGGTTAGGCCAGTACCAAGGGTATACTTCTGCATGAGGCTCTAAGCCTCACTTTAATTTCATGTACTATATATATATATAATTTTTTTTTCTCATTTTAGAGTAAATGGGTTTTTTTTTTTTGAGAGCTGGTGCTGATATAGCCTCAGCTATGAAGTGTTTTCATACATTTTCCTTTATTCTTTCTAAAAGTGCCATTAAAGAGCCATGTTTTTTTTTTTATCTTAACTACTAAGATGTCCTTCAGGCACAGAATATCATAGAGTTCTGATTTTTCCTCATGCAGTTTTGGGATTCATGGCAGACTTTCATTTTCCATTTTTTTTTTTTTTTTTTTTTTTTTGTAAGGAAACGCCAGGCCCGAATATGTTGCCCCAAAATATCAGTGTGGCTATAATTTCCTGAAGTTGGTATGAGTCAGTTAACTGTGAATGCGTGAGATCTTGTGCAAGCTCTCAGCCTCGTTTACATTCTACTAGCTCTTCATGCTCAGGTCTGAGGTTTGCTAATGAAGAAACATGTCACCCAGTGCAGCGGTGTGTTTCCCCTGATGGTGTTCTTAATAGGTTTTGAACAACAATGGTGGTCTACAGCACAAATGAAGCTAATCCAGGGCTGACATATATTAACCATGAGTTAGAGGTCGGTTTTGCTCGCTGTATGGAGATTGCCATAAATTTTAACACAGAAAATGACCAGCCTTTAAAACCATTAAGTGTTACATAGAAAATGTTCACTCCTATTTCTTTGTCACACATCAGATGCTAGGCTGATTTAAAATCCCTTCATTGATTGTACCAAGTCTGGCTATTATGGTGACCACTCGTGTATTATAGATTTCAGAGCAACTCCAGCTACCTAGCACAGCATACTATGAAGGGTTAGGCCAGTACCAAGGGTATACTTCTGCATGAGGCTCTAAGCCTCACTTTAATTTCATTTACTATATATATATATAATTTTTTTTTCTCATTTTAGAGTAAATGGGTTTTTTTTTTTTGAGAGCTGGTGAGGATATAGCCTCAGCTATGAAGTGTTTTCATACATTTTCCTTTATTCTTTCTAAAAGTGCCATTAAAGAGCCATGTTTTTTTTTTTTATCTTAACACTGAGCCTGCATGCTTACATTTTTCAGATTCTTCAATCTACTTATACTTCATTATTCATATATTTAATTTTCTCAAGTTTTTGAAGACTGTAGCCTTTTACCTTCTATATAAAATAAACAGTTTGTTTACAAAAGTATCCCTACTTGGTCTATTTCTTATAAACCCTACAGGAGCAAAATACTGAGATGCACATATTACTGGGTCACCTTCACAAAATGCTGTATCTCACGCTTTGCACTAACTTCAGGCATTTTTCAGCTGCTTAAAGCCTGCATCTATGCCTTTTGGCTTTCCTCCTCTCTTCTACTCATCCTTACACCTTCAAAGTTTCACTTCTGTAGTAATGCCATCTCTGCATATTAAGAATAACTCCAGTATTAGTAATGATTCTAACAGTAATGTTACAATAATTGTAACAGTTAAGTAATTTTCAGCACCCCTATGTGTTAAGTCTTTTTTTAAAAGCTTAACTTTGTGTAGGTCTGTGATATACATACTATAGCTCTGACTCCTGTAGCTTGCTTTGCATCTCTTACATGCTCACTGGCCATCCACCTCACCCTTCTCTTCCAGATCCACTTCCTCATGATTCTCTCAGCAAACTGGGCCTACCTTAAGGATGCCAGTCAAATGCATGCCTACCAAGACATCAAAATGAAGGAAGAGCAGGAGCTGCAGGACATCACCTCACGTTCGAAGGAATGCCTCAATTCCTACACATAAGGATATTATCCCTCGCACTTAAGTTCACACAAACACACGCTGGCACATGTACAAAAACACAGACACTGTGGCCCCCTTTGGACCAAGAAAACTCCGCTAAAATAACCAGCCAACTGACACTCTGCATCGCTAACCAGGCTCCTAACCAACTAATGCATCAGTGTTGCTTTCTGCACTAACTCACCAAGTGTTTTGAAACTGCTACGCAAAGTTTTGTTCACGCAGATTTTCATTTTCTGTTTTTCTGGAGGCAAAAACTGTTTTGAATTCTCTAGTATTTCATCTTCTCTGGCCCTTTTTACAGCCAGTTATGCTGGCAAAGCTTGGGATGCACTGTTCTTAACACATAACAAAACCTTTTGATTTGCTGTATCTTTCTTTTGAGTGGGTTTTCAACAAGACAATGTATACTTTTTTTAAAAAAAAACTTTTCTTTTGAATTTACAATACAGACAAATTATACACAACACAAGACCTTACAGTTAGTGTCACACTGTACTGACCCAGCCAATAATGGTCGACTTGACAGTAAGGAAATGGCTCAAATACAATATGCACCACATTGTGACAGAAGAGTTGGCTGCATGTGCCCTCTAAAGTTAGAATCATTAAGTATTTCACTGCATTACTAGCTCGAGTGATAATTTGAGTGTCTATTTGGTTCTAGATTCTAATTTTAATCGTACAACTACTTAAGTCACACAGAACTTCAATGGCCTACGTTAACACTACCTCAGGTGTGCATTAGAGCCCGTGGAACGAACAACGCTTCTCCCTTGTAACACTATGGCTTGAAAATCCCATTTTAATTGTAAACATTCCTCAAACACACAGAATATGTATTGGTTTAGGCAACTTCCCAGGGAGGGAAGCACTGAACAGTTTCTAGCTCATAGTTTAATGTAAATTCTGCACAGTGTATTAAAAGATTGAAGCCTGATACAAACTTAACTATGCCCTGTGTGTATTGGTACTATGGGGGGGGGCTGAAGGTGTGAACTGTACATTTATTACAAGTCAGTATTTTTAGTGCTTTGCTTGACAAAAACCACTTAATTGTTTTTTCTATATTTGCATCTTTTTTTGATGTTCAACTGTCAATGCTGACCTAATTACTCATGTAATCATTTGTTTCTATTAGTTGAGTTACAGGGATAACATTTCTTTGTTGCATGAAGACGACGGTTTATGCAGTGACGTGATGTACAGTCATGTGCCATGTACACATACTGACATCAGTAGTAGGCAGTTTTTGCCCGTTTCCTTTTTTCTCCTAACCGAATACACAGTAATCCTTAGGTTGCTTTTAGTTATAGGTGTTTATTAGGTTATTTTATTCAATTCAAAAGTCTGATCTGAATTATGTTTGTTGCCCAATAGTATATTTGTATTAACCATCAAGGATTTCCTTGTGAATTACTAATGCGTAACTTTTAATTCACCTTTCAAATAGGAATTAGTTGCAACACCAGTCAGCTATAAAATTGTGTGGCAATCTAAATGGTAAATTTAGTGAAAGTAAGAATGTCATTGTGACTTTCTGCCCAGTGTTTTTCACAGTATCTGTGAACCTAGTAGCACCAAACCTGCAGCGTTCTATGCAGGACTAATAGTCACAGGTCTACAGTGGCCGAAGTAAAAGACAAACGTACATGAGGAAAATGTACATATTGTATTGGTATGCTGTTGAATCAACCAAAAACTAAAGATTAAAGGCTACCTATCAATCAACAGGATGACAATCTAGCATCCTGTCTGACTGGAAACTTTATGATGACATGACTCGACCAGCCTGTTGCCTGTTTTTATGAAAATAAAAACCATCTCTCTCTTGTGGCGTGTTCTTTTGTATGATAAAATCTTACATAGTGCGCAGTACATCCAAAAAGTACTTAAGAATTTATTCAAACATTAAACCAATGTTAAAATGTGTCAAATATACACACTGAATAGCAATATCTAAAAACAAACATGCTTCACACTGTCAAAAAGTGTACAACTAGAAAGGCTTGTAAAACTCATCAGTTTACGATGGCACTCGGGCACAACCAGCTCACCAGAAATCATCATCTTCATCCTTTTGCGAATATGCTGCAATGCTGGGAAAACAAAATCAAGTCAGTCAAAGCTTAAAAGGACAGGAAAATTGTATTTCTCAATTAACTCATCCTTAAGATAACATAATGACATTAAAAGAACAAATGACAAAAGGACAAGGAGATGAGAAACCAGGATAAATGTAAATGTTTTTGGAAGAGGATTATGTAGTCTCATCTTTTTATTAAACTTTCCTGCAGTAACAGCAGCTTGAGAATTGGAAAACCCTAAGCTGTTTTATTCGCAAATCATAAATCTAGTCATCTATATTGTGTCAGGTCTAGTCAACAATTTTAAGGTACCTCTCTTCTTTTTCCTCTGACAAACTTCTGGCCTCTGGGCTTGTATGTCCTTCCTCTACTCTTCCAGGGATCTGAGGGGAAAAAGAAACTCAATGTAGCACACAGGGCAGTTGCTACAAAAGCCAAGTTCTGCAATACCTTCAAACAAATGTGCATGCAACTCACTGGTGCCTGCTGCTTCTCTCTTGCTTCAAGGACTATTTTCATATATTTCTCCAATGGATTGTCACCTTCAGACTTCCTTCCATCATCTCCAGCCTCTTCATCTCCTCCTTTCTTTATCCCTGTTTCTTTTTCTTCCTCCTCTCTTGGTTGCTCTGCTACTTGCAAAAGCTAGTTAGACACAGATACTTGAAGTGTTCATTTCATAGAACTGCCTTTTGGCAGTAGATGCAAATATGAAAAGATCTGCACAAAGGAATCTTAGAGCGTGATGCGAGAGAAGTATTACCATCTCTTTCTCTAGTTTTTCAAGTTCTTGCAGTTCCCTCGCTCTGGCTTCCTCTTGCTCCCTTTGCCGTTGCTCCTCTCTTTCCTTTCGCTCCCTTTCCCACCTCTGCTCTTCATACTCCTCATCCTTTTCCTTACCAAATTCACCTGAGGTCTGTGGGGCTTAAAAACAAAAAAATATGAACTGATATGAGACAAGAATCTTGTCAATTATTGGTAAAGTCCTGCTCTTCATTTTGGTTTGTAGTCTATGTCTACAGTATGAGGTGAGATACAGAAAAATCCTTAAGACTGACTAATCAGTAGATGCCGACAGTAGAAGGTCACTTGTCATTTGGGGTTAACCAAGATTATGAGTCAGTAAGAAACAGGCTAAGAACTCACCCGCCTGGCTCTGCAAGTCTATCGGGTCTTCTGGGAGGTCTTGTGGGTGGGGGACAGCGGGGTTGTCAGGGGCCTCCTCGGAGAGAGGGACGCCAGTGTCCAGGAGAAGCTCTGGAATGTGGCCGGGCTCTGGAGGGAGACGCACAAAGAGATCTTTTATGCTCCACCATAATGCAACAGAGCCAGGGGACCAGCACAGAATACATAATCAGCTGCCCTTCATCGTCACCATTGTGCTGAACCACTGAAAGGACTTTGGAGGCCAGTCACACACTCATTTAAAAACATATTCCAAAATCCAAAAACCTCCAAAGCGGATATACTTCCATTTCATGGAATTTGGTTTACATTAATAATAATGAAAACTGAAAAAAGACTTCACATTACATAAATGCATTACTATGAAAACTGTGAGAACAAATTACAGCAATTTTGTTTGAAATATGAGGCACACACAAACTGGTCACACATCACACTTTCCAGCACTTCTCATGTATAACAGTAAGAAATGGAAAATGTGCAGTACGTAAAGTTCAGCTGTTCAATACAGAATATAGTGAAAGTGTCTCAGGTTTAGACAAAACAGGAAAATCTCCCAGGTCAGTCAAAAACAATGCACTGAATCAATGGTGAAAAATCCTATGACGATGACACAGTTTAGTTGTAATGTGGTGTATTTAAAATAGTAAAATAATAAAACATCAAATACTTGCCCAGAGTGCCCGACAAAATCCCTGTGAGATCATCAAGGCTAATCTTCTCAGGCTGTGGGGAAGACTCTGAGCTGGAGAGGACATGCTGTATCTTTGGTGGACTGAAGAAACAAAGATAAAAATGGGGGCATTAGTATTCACCATCTCTGTGTTAAAGTGTATAAAAATGTTGCACTGTCCTTGTCAAAGTCCTGCCAGATGGTACCCGGACGGGTCTCGTGCTGTGCTCTTGAGCTGAGGACTGCGAGGTGGACTGAGCTCAGGGGAAAAGTCACCCAGGGTCACCATCTCCTCATGGGGGGGATGAGGGAGCTGTCTGTCAGACCACATTTCTGGGAATGCTACAGGAGACCCCACTGGTTCTATGAGAGGCAAAGGCTTTATATTAGATGATATATTCTGTAACAATAGAGCACGAGTTATAGGTGAAGTATGAGCACTGACAACATGAAACTATTTTAGTGTTTATTTCTTGACAGGTAAAAGGGGTTGGTGCACCTAATCTCTGAAGTATTTTCATCGGATAATGCATTTTTGAAGGTACCTTTTTCCATCTCTCTCTGAAGCTTTTTCCTTGAGGAAGAGTGTGGTGTGGAGGACAGAGTTTTGGATGTAGCAGAACTTTCATCCTGAGGTCTCAGAAGCAAAGGTTCAGTCAATGAATGGAGACTATGGTCAGTGAAAACTGTGGATTGGGGTTGGCTGTGGTCTTCTGAGAAGGTCACTCTTGGTTGTGCAGGTGCTAAGGTGTCTCTGGTGTCATAGGAATGAGATTGGGTGGTCTGGGGAGAGAGCTGTTTGTGGGAGACCTTTGGTTTGTGTGAACGATGAGGGACTTTTTTTCTTAAAGGGGAGTCAGGGTGATGTGAAGGATGTGCTTGCTGCTGGGAAAGAGATCTTGGGGGCAGCATGTGTGAGATGGTGGAATGCACTGCCCTCTGCTGGTAGTTCCTGTAGGCCTCCTCCAAGGTTTCAGCCTCTTTCTGCAGCTCCTGGATCCGAGCCTTGGCTTCAGACACCAGCTCCATGTCAGAGTCTGGGTCCCAAGGTGACCTGTGTCCTTGCAATGGCCCACCTGTTTCACAAACATCATCATAACCCACCCTGGCCCTCAGCAGAGGTCTGTCCACATAGATGTCAGGGGGAACCAGCTTGTCAGCACCAAGCTCCAGCACTGAGCGATCAACAAGAGAGGGCTTGGGGTTACGCAGCACTTCATTTTCAAGTGCTACCATGATCCCATGGATCACACATAAGAAAGACAAAAAGAGAGAGAAGGAAAAGCAAACAAGAGGAAAAGTTGAGCACTAATATAGAAAACCAACCACCATAAAAGATCACAGATCTGAGGACAAGGTTTGCTAAACTAATTTCTAAGAAATCTGCATGCATTACCACAGAAACTCCAGTTGCTATGACTGTAATAAGGCTTTCCTTCTTATTTTAACTGACATTTCTCTTATACTAAACACACTAAGAGACCATGTTTGAGGCCATTAAAATTGGTCAAATACTTTCTCTTTTATAAGATTTAATAACATGAAAACAATAACATGATCCAAGAGAGAAAGAAAGAGCTTTTGAGAAGCAGGAATAAGGTTATGTATTACTGACTAAGATACATAACTGGATAGAGAACATGATTCAAGTCACACTAGGATGTGGCGAACATGCATGCCCCGTCACGTGGTACCTTGTTGAGTTTGATGAAGCTGCATCTTGATGTTCTCAACATGGTTAGCCATCCACTGTGACCTCTCTTCACACTCCATCAGCTGAGCCTTGAGCTGAACACATCGCTCCGCCTGCAGAAAACAGATCATAGAACATCACACAAAACTAACCATTAACGCAAACAAGTAACTGGAAATCCACATTTAATGACAAAATCCAAATTACTTAAGAGACTCTACAAGGTAGGACAAAACATGCATGACAAAAAAATTGGCCACTTAGTTTCCCCACACTCAGCTGACCTCACGCTGGAGCTGTGCCTGCAGCACCTGTTGCTGTGTGTCAAACTCTTCCCGATCTAGTCGTTGAGCGCCCTGCAGCCTCCGAAGCTCCATCTGCAAGGCCAACTGCTCTTTGGATGGCTTGGCCAAATCTGAAAGGCAGGTTAGCAGAGTCCAAACGATCTAAAAGAACAGCTCATCATTGAATGCATCATCTATTTAAATGGGAAAACTATGTGATGAAAAAGGATCTGGAGATGGAGAAGTAGTTCTGTTTTGACAGGCCATTTTAAATTGTTTGTGTACATAGCTTTGACTGTTGCGGCCTTGTGTTAGTGATGAGAAGCCTGCTGCTCCCCTACTGCAGTTCCAACAATCCCCTACAGAGAGGTAAAATTTAAAGTTTTCTGCCATGGGTTAATGGAGGCGTCTATCTCTGCTCCCCTTCACATCCTTCTTTTCTTTGGAAGAGTCTGCAAGGCTATAAACACTGCACAGAGGCTCCACACTGGCCAGAAGCAGTGGGACAGACTAGCATGAATGCGTCACAGTACACTGCATCTCCCTCAACTCACAATGAGCCCAGACTCATCTGCCGTGAACACAACACAGGGACCAGATTCATCACATTTATGAAACAAAAGGCTACAAATACTGTGAAGCACTGATATTCTAAGTTTACACATTATAAGCAACGACTCCCAGACATTAAATTTCAGAGCCACAAATGAATCAGTTGTACATTATTACAAACAGAAAACCTTTATTCTATTATTCTCACAGTAAAGTGGATAGAGAAGCTACAGCATGCTATGAAACTTGGGAGGCAGTTGGGAACAGCAGCTGCTCCTCACCTGCATGGAGAAGCCGGTTCTCCTCTTGGGCCTCCTCAAGCTGTGTCTTCAGCAGCTGCAGCTGCCCCTGCAGTTCTGCTTTCTCCCTTTTCAGGCTAGTATAATTACTCATGTTCTCCAGTCTCTCTCTTAACAGCTCATTCTGCTGAGTCAGGAGGGAAATCTGCTGCTGTGCTGTGTCTAGCTCAACCTGGACAACAACAGAAGTGAGAAAGCCGCAGACTGAATTATTCAATTATATTGTGTATGACACAATGATTACAGAGCCACATCGCACTGAATGACCGAACGTTTTGCACGTGTTCAGTATTAAGTAGGACTGAAAAATTATGGCCGGTGCTGCAGGGGGTGAACTTAAATCTGGTGAATGACTGGGGTGATGTTTACCTGCAGACGTCTCAGCTCTGAACATGCTCTACTGTGCTCCTCTAGTTTGGCGTTAATTAGCGCAGACTCCTTTTGAATACGAGCAGTTTCCACTGAGAGCGAAAAGAAAGCATGTAATACATGATCTAAGGCAGCAGCAAGGTAGTCAGTAAACCTCCATCCATTTAAATACTCACCTTTGTTTCTGTTCTCACTGTCAGTTAGTTTTTCTGTTCTCTTGATAAATTCCTCTTTCAGCTCAAGCTGATATCTAATTGTATAAAGACATAAGAGGAAACATTCAAGAGAGCTCTGAAATGAAATCAGTGCAAAACATCTTAGAAATGGCTCCTTTTCCTGCTACATACATATACAGTGTAATAAACCCAACCAGCTTGGCCATGTAAGTGATCAGGTAACATACTGTATGTTACCATACAGTTACAGCATAACTGCTAACAGACAACCAATCAAATCTCAAAATCAGCACTTCATATCTGATGCATTTTTGACTCCCTTTGCCATAGCTCTGAGGTAGTAACAAATCAAACATTTGTGTTCAATGATAAGGCCAGTCTTTAGTTTAAACGCTCCTTACACAGAGATTAATATACATCAGGAAACACACTGCTGCACTGGGTGACATATATTTCCTCATTACAAAACACAAGACCCAAATATTTGTTTAAATGTTGCCCCAAACGCTCCGAACGGCCATAATTTTTACAGCATCTGAAGTAAACAAGAGTAAAGGGCCCATGCAGAAGATCTCTGGAAATTCTTAACAAGTATTCAGGTCTTGTGTTTCATAATGAGGAGACATCCCACAGTGCAGCAGGGTGTTTCCAGATGTGTTTTTAATTATTTTTAAACAACGATGGAGGTCTATGGCACAGATGAATAAGATAATCCAGGGCTGACAAACTGATAGACATTAACAGTGAGTAGAGGCAACTCATTGTTGGCTTTAGTCTCTGTATGGGGAGTCTCGAAAATACCATTAAAACAGAAAATGACCAGCCTTATCCTTTAATGTTAACACAGACATTCTCTTTTCAGCAACCAGAAGAAATGTTATATGCTTGCACATTATGGAGCCTAATAGGCACCAAGAGTATATGTAGTGTCAGTACCACTTTCAAGCATTTTTACTAAATGTTTTTCACCAAGAACAACTTAATGAATTATTTCTCAGACTCAGTTCAGTGACCTTTAGCTTTATAATGTACACAGCACACACAGGAGACAGTTTTTTCTTTAGCCTGTGGTCACATAACGAAGATCTCACTAAATAAGATACACAGTCTAAATTTGAGAGGCAACATGACCTAGCAGAATAGATCGAAAATATCAAATGATACTCTGCAAAACAAGACTCCAACGTAAAAATACCTGGAAAGTTCATTCTTCAGCCTTTGGTCGTATGTGTCCTCTATTGTCTTCACAGCCAGTTCTCTCCTCCTCAGGAGATCTTCAGTGGTCCTGACCTTCTCCTCATGAATCTGACAAGTCCTGTCATCACACAAACACAGTAGCATTCTCTATGTACTGGGGGTCGCAGTGAGAAAGCACAGCACTTTTAACACTGATGGAATAAAGCTCTTACTTTTCAAAAGCCTCCATTCTCATCCTCAGCTCACTGTCCCTATTCCGCAGTGCTTCAATTTCTTTCAGCAACGATTGCCTCTGTATATACACATTTTTTTCTTCAATCTAGCAAAAAAAGAAATACATTATACAGTCTTTGATTTAAGCAGTTGGAAATTATGCCAACACCGAGTGCCCGCCATCACTTCACTTCGCTAAAGGTTTAGGTCAAGTGAAAGAAACACAACATCATAAAAGCAGCGATCTACCTCTTGTTGCTTTTGTAACCGATCAATGGCATTTTTCTCCCGGTCCATCAATGACTTTGCCTTCATTTCGTAAGTCCCATACAGCTCTTTCTTCAGCTTATCAATTTCTTTATGAAAGTTTGCTTTTTCTTCCATCCTCACCTTGGCAATTTCAGCATCTTTAAAATGCTGCATCTTTAGAGAGACAAGACACAATGCTGAGGCCATATCACCACAAAGCACTCACACATAAAAATATATGTATACCTTTGTATTCATTTCTTCTTGCATCTGTGCTTCAGTTTCTTTTCTATAAGCAGCCAGTGTTGACTGGAATGAAAACCATTTGTCCCCGCTGTAAGTGAAATTCTCATATTGCTTATCAATCATTTTCATCTTTTCAACTGTGCACAGAAGAAAGAAAAAGAAAACATTACAATGTGCATTAAAATGCATGTGTGTGGAATACAATTTAAGACACCAATCTTCCATACCAAGAGATTCCCCAAAGCCTGCTATGCTGGTTGTCTGAGTTGCAGCATCATGGCAGAAACCTTGAGTATAATGGTGTGTTAGCTGTGTCAGAAGGCTGATCAAGAACCCTGACAGATAAAGATAAAATATATTTCAAGGACAGGATTAGGGGGCAGGTTGTTTTTTTTTTTTTAACTGAATACTGTGCCATACCTTTATCATTGCTCCCTGCATTTGAAGACTGTGGAAAAAAAATGATGCTATTATTAATAAAGATATTTGTTTCTTGTTTCTATTTATTTCAAGAACAATGGTCTGCTTGTTAAATGATATATTTATTATTTACCAGGGATCTGGAAAGTGCTGATTCAGGGTTAATTTTAAGAAGCAACAGAATATCTTCTTTTGTGAAAACCTGCCAAAATGATCAGAGAGCAAAACCTTAATTTATAATGATATTCTTCCCACTTTAAGCTACAGTAAATAAAATGAATGATGTTGTGCTCACCTTGTCTTTGCATAGACCACTCTCAGGACAGAATACAGAAAGGGTGTACTCATAGCCGGAGGTGCGGAGATGGTCAGCCACTATGCTGTTACAGGCTGAGACTAATAGGGGTTCAAATTTCGCAGGCACTGGCCTGGGAACTGGTTCACTTCCAGCTATGGGTGGATGTTTTAATTCCTGAATGAGCTGATTCCGCAGGTGTGTCTGAATCAGATCAGAAGAAAGAAAAGACAATTCGGAACAAGCTTAGATAGAGCAGACTTCGGCTACAACAACCAACAGTAAAGTTATTAGTATGACTTACTTTGAGTGTATCAAGCACTCCTTTACGTTTAAAAGTTTGATAGAGTCTTTTCCTCAACTCGTCTGGGGATAACGTGTCTTCCTTGGCCGAGGACATAGCCGCAGTGCTTGCAAGTTCTGGCACAAGAGAAACAGACAGCAGCGTAGTAAAACTGACATATAGAAGTCCTGTTTTCAGCCACTGTTAAAGTATTCCTACCTGATGTTAGACTGTTATCGCTCTATGTTTAACACCTGATACAACAGACACGAGATATATAATAATAATAATAATAATAAAAACAATAATTTCACTAATTACCAGCTTAACGACCAAAGCGTCTCGACGTCCCTTTCAAGGAGGTGTGTCACGAACATTTAAATCGTCAACGGAAATTTTGTTCCGGGCAGGCGCAGGGTTATGACGTTGAAGAAAATTATTCATTGTTCGATAATTTGTCATATCACTTAATTCAGTAATGACTTATATAACGCGAAGCAAAAACCATCGTCGTTAAACAGTTTTGAAACAAATAACTGATAAATGTCTTTGGCTACTTGAGTATGACGTCATCTTTATGTGACTGTTGCAGCTGTTCGCCAGGAAGTGAAATTAAAAGGTAAACAGAAGTCTTTTGTATTTTATTAATAAGCTGTCCATGTTGTGCTTACACTACATTCTCATAATATTTCTATTTGTATTGTCTTTACTTTGTCTCACAAGAATCATTTAAAGAATCAAACGACGTCAAGCGTCTGTGGAGCACTGCGGCTAGCGTTAGTCTGCTAGCTGACAAAACGTCTGGGAAAGGGATTTGGGGAAGATATCACATTGCTTAGCCTGCTTGGTTTGATTCGAATTGATTTTAGGACAGTTCGACTTTGCTAGGAAGAAGAGGAGACGATGTCTGGAAGCTTTTATTTCGTCATGGTTGGACATCACGACAATCCTGTATTTGAGATTGAGTTCTTGCCATCTGGGAAACCCGAATCAAAGGTAATGTGATTTCATTAATAACATTAGCATTCATTCCAGTACATCTTTTGGTGTCCATTACCATTAACAACACTCTACATAACACAGTAACATAATTTATCACAATTCTTCCGTTGATCACAGGATGATCATCGTCACTTGAATCAGTTCATTGCACATGCAGCCCTGGATTTGGTGGATGAAAACATGTGGCTGTCCAACAGTATGTACTTAAAAACTGTGGACAAGTTCAACGAGTGGTTTGTTTCTGCATTTGTCACTGCAGGACATATCCTTTATCAACTCCTTTTGATTGTGTGTTTTTATTCCTTACAGTTGTATTAATTGCGCACAGTAAGTGAGCATTGCATAATTTTTGTCTGTTCTATAACCTTATATATGAAATATGTTTGAGTTGTGGACTGTTGGATCAATAAAAGGCATTTTTAAGATGCCACTTTAGGTTCTTGGAAATTATGATGGACATTCTTCATTTTTCTTTTGACATTTTATTGATTACAGAATAGGATAAACATGACACAGTTCATGGATCATGAAAATATTTAGTTGTAGCCCTACTGCCATTATCTGATTTGTTAGTTTGCATTTTATTATTATTATTAATTATAATATTAGTCACATTGTGTCATTCTGTTCAGGGAATATACTGGCATGACTTTACTTTCTTTAATTATTTGCCATACATATAAGATTCATCATGTTGCATGATGTTCGACAAGAAGATGGAATCAAAAACTTTTTTAATGATGTATATGATTTATACATAAAGGTAAGTTGTTTTATACATGATTACAAAAAACTTAGCTGAAGGCAACATTAGTTCTGTCTGTTCTTGAGCATTTTGTCTTTTTTGTTTTGCAGTTTGCAATGAATCCATTCTATGAAATAAATGCACCAATCCGCTCGACAGCGTTTGAGAGGAAAGTCCAGTTTCTTGGAAAGAAACATCTCCTGAGTTAATCACTTCACACAGACAGGGATGCGAATGCATCTTGTCTGCTTGTTGTATATATATACGCACACTTAATACAATTGACACCTGTCTTTTCCTGTTTGACAAGTGTATAATGTATCCAGCATAAAAGTCTTATATGTTTCTATAAAGCATTTTCTTGCCTGATCCAGTTTTTAATAATTTTTCTTTTGTGCAGGTCACTGTGGGTATGGATACTGTATGCTGATTATGAACACTTCAGGGCTAAAAACTGTCATCTTATTTCTAGAATGCTTGACCAATAATGGATAGAACATTTAGATTAATAGCCACAATATTGTTCCTTGTTAAGTTAGGTTCTTTGTGTTACCTCCTGGTTTAGGTGTTATATCGTTGCAGTGCATCGAAAGCACAACAGAATTGTGCAATTATTCAGTTCAAACTTTGGGACAATAAACCAATTTTCATGGTACAAAACATGCTTCAAGTGACAATAGTCAATGGAGTTTATTTGTTTGGCATATGAGTAGTGCAACTTAAAAATTATATTTGAATGAGAAACAATGTAAATTAATGGTTTGCCAATTTTATTACTAAGTTGTGGGAAAAGACTTGAAGCTGTAATCATAAATGAGTACTTTAAAGATCAAAATCAAAATATGGAGGAACAAAGTTTACTCACTTATGACCAATATTTCATTTTCTTCAAGTATTATAGTCTGATTCAACTTTTTAAACTAAAAGTTTATAAAATATAAAAACTTACAGAAACATAAATAAACCACCATGCTCCTTAACTTTACTTTAATATTTGTCTTCTCTTAGGGAGGTTGTCCCTTAGTGCTTCCAGCATGTAGCAGAATGTCACACAAACACGACCTAAAGTGCAACAATCACAAGCCTTAATTTGTTAGTTACACAAAGTAGAGCCTCACCTACTTTATAATTCCTAGAAACAATGTTATTGGGTTATATAAATTATTTTCATTTTGCAGTTTGTTAAAAATTAAATGTATAGGTCATCACAGTATCTGCATTATCAAATTCTGGAGAGATGTTAAGGATCCCTATAAGTGCACTACCAAGACAGTACACATTAGGTCACATAATTTGCTGTCATGATAGAACTGATCATTTAACCAATTGAGAAGAAAGTGAAACTACTGAAATACACTCTATGGCCACTTCATTAGATACACCTGTACAACTTAGAGGCATCTCTATATTTTTGTTCTCCCCAGCCAGATAGATGAGGATCAGAATATTAGGAACGCCTCTGAATATAATGTAGTCCAGTACAACACCGTCTTTAACTATGACCTCAATAATAAACATATAGTTGAATTTATACATTTGACAATTTCACCAAAAACTGACATTTTGAGCTTCATAAACACAAATGTTAAGGCTGAAGTGTTGCACTGAATTGCATAGAATTGTATAGGTGTGACTATTAAAGCGGCTGGGCACTGTATATTGTCTGACATATATTTAGTTCCCCACAGGCTGTGTCAGAACAACAGGTGGGGTTCACAGAGGGGAAACAACAAAATATTGTGTCTTTTTCCGAGTCAATAATTCAGTGCATTCATGTTTATTTGCAGTGAGACTGGGATGAATTTAGTGTTTCATCTCTCTTTAAACACAAGTCCAGCTATCAACATGATCCAAACCTAAACAGTATGTCAAATTGCAAAACCAGTAGCATAATTTGTTTAAATAAGGTATTACTACAGCATTGTACATCTACAGTCTCATCAAACAAGTTTTAACAGGAAATTAATGCTAGCGATAAATTCTGGATGCTATGAACAACAAGTGGCAGCAGAGCGAGGCTTTCTGTGGAGCTTGACTGTGTCTGTGGGGATGAAGTGGTCTGTTCTTTCATCTATTGCCAACACTCTGCGGACTGCTTCCTCAAAGGCCACTGCTACATTGATGGCATCCTTGGCACTGGTCTCATAATATGGGTAGTCACCATTCTCCTGGCACCATTGCTGAGCCTCTTCAGTAGACACTTGTCTCTCTACCACATCCAGTTTGTTGCCCAAGATTACGAATGGGAACTTCTCTGGCTCTTTGACATCTGCATAGTAGATGAACTCCTTCTTCCAGTTGCCCAGGTTGAGAAAACTCTGGTTGTCATCCACACTGAAGGTGAGCAGGCAGCAGTCAGAGCCACGATAGAATGGAGTCCTCAGACTGCGAAAGCGCTCTTGGCCAGCAGTGTCCCAGATCTGTAGGGTAACCTGGCGGCCATCTACCTCCAGATCCTTATTGAGGAACTCAACACCGATGGTATGGAAAAGCTGTGCATCAAACTTGTTGGTGACATAACGATTCATGATGGAGCTTTTTCCTACACCGCCATCACCCAGAAGAATGACTTTCAGCAGGGATGTCTTCATTGTCATAGCTATTAACTCCTGATGACCACTTTAAAATAAATTTACCTAATGGAGAGATGCAATGTGCAGAATATTTTTATTACTTGCACACCAATATTGGTTTCGGAGAAAGGTTGAACCTAAATACCACTTTACATTTTACTCTAGGAATACAATTTATGTGGATATGTGAATTTTGTCTCACCCCCTGATTAACTTTGGCCTTGTCTAGTGGTCCAGATCGTACGCTGTAAACCTCGGTCCTTGGTCACATACTCATTAGTTTAGGTAGCGTTCAGCCAGCTGTAACAGAGGTAAGCAACCAGTTTCCTGATTACATATGGCCCGGGACAGCAGCTATATGGCGTATGGCAGTTAGTTGGGGGTATAAAACATATATGTTATTAAAAGAACATGCTACCATGCAAGCAAATACAATCTGAAATATATGCCTATGAGATAGCTGAGTACTAGCCAAGCTAGTCTAACATGAAAACAAGGGAACAGCTGTACTTAACGTTAATGCTTTGTCCGGTTTAGCGTTAACTTACTTACGGGGCAGATAGCTAATAACCTACCTCTTAATTTGGACCAGGAAGCTGCAGAGCCAACGAACAATAAAACACGAAATAACTGAAATGATATTAATAAATACGTATGACAGCTTTTCTCTTCAGCGCGACTACAGCTAACATCAGGTCGACCCGATTCTAGCTGAACTACTGCAGCTAGCTGCTAACAAGCTAGCGATACAAAGAAGGACAGCCTCTGATCATGTGATCATGTTAAACAGAAACAATCAACCAACGATGCGGTGACGTTTTAGGCTGGATTTAGGTCCTTACACCTTATACGTATATTAATATTGATATAAAAATTGTTAACCAATTACACACTATACCATTCTGCTTGAAAAAAGGCCTACATTCAAACTCAGCGAGACTTTGTTTAAACTTAAGAACAAACGTTAGATCCCAAAACTCGGGGGTAGCACAGATAGGGAAACATTTTGACGGGGAAACGTTTTTCATGTACTCCAGAATCTTCTCCCTTGTTTTGGAATCTAACGTCAGCCTTTAGCTTATTGTTTATTAGTCAATTGTATTACTCATGCACCACCACCAGAGAGCGACAGTTTTTCAGGTGGTATCAGAGCCACCGTCTCATCACACCTGTACGGAAGAGTATTAGGGCCACTGCATAAAATTTTTTTTTAAAATTCTGACTTTATTCTCAGACTTCTGACTTTAAACTCTGAGTTTAAAGTCAGAAATATGAGAATAAAGTCAGAATTTTGAAATTAAAAAAAAAAATTATGCAGTGGCCCTAATTAAAAAAAATTTATGCAGTGGCCCTAATACTCTTCCGTACACCTGGGCCTATAGTCAGTGACAAAGTATTAACTGTAATTGCCTTTGGCAGGAGGAAAACTGCATTTTATTAGTTATACTGGGCCTTTGCAGTTAGATAAACTAAGGTAAGGCAGGCTGGATGGTTCATAATCTTTATAATATTACCCCCAAGGGTGATATCAACATAATCTAAGGCAGAAAATCCAATTTACTAACGAGGTATTAATTGTAATCACTTTTTGAAAAATACCGCAATTTTATGGATATTTTATGGATATACTGGCATTTTAGACATACTGAAACTGGTACCAAGTTTCTTGATAGGTAATATTTAAAACACAACTCAGAAGAGGGAAATAAAGGTAATCTGAAGCAGAAAATCCCATTCAGTATCAAGATAAGTACTTTTTGTCAAGGAAAAAATGACATTTCACTGGTTGTAGTGGCTCCTTGGAGGTACTTTAAGTGGTAGAGCAGGGTGGGTGGTTTATAATTATTAAAATATAATACATAATAGTGATACAGAGGTCATCTGAATAGTTTGCAAACAAAACATCACTATCATCTCTGTGCGCCCTGTAACACTAATTCACTTCCCATTATCATAATGGATTTCAGTTCAGTTTGCAGAATTCCATGGTGACAGCCAAATGTAAAGTCATACAATGAGTGAAGAAAAGAACATGAATTGTAGAGAAATTTAGAAAAAAACAGATTTAATGTACTGGTACAATATAATATGAAAGCAAAATGTACAGCAGTTACACACTGATGTTTTCGTCATTTAAACTAAATGGCCTTCAATAAAGTTATTGATCTAAGCTTATATTTCAAATTTAATTCACCTAAAAATTCACATTACATGTCATAGATTAATTTCAATTAACTTCAGCTATCACATACATAACAAAGAACTAAGCACAATACTGTAAAACATAACTAACAAAGTTAGCATTTCCACCTTTTCCTGATACCTGAGTTATTTGTATCATAAAAGACTATTTTGAAAATCACAGTAGAGACTGTTGCAGGATGTATTGATGTAGCAGCATGATGATAAAGTAAAAATGCATGCACATTAGTCTCCCCTTAAGACCATGTGTCTGTATTTTTATGTGGACATCCTGTGGCTAAAGAGCACTGAGAAACTCCACCAGTATGAGACCATAACATCGACAGCAAAGAGGAGTACTTGACATGAGTCATATAGAAGAGATTTTCAAATTGTTGATCCAAGGTGGAGAGTCCTAAAAGATTGGACTGGCATCCTCTTGACAGGGTCCTGAGGTCAATACAACATTATCCAGCCCGATCTGTCCTCCAATACCTGTCCCACGCTGAGCTTCAAAGATAATCTGCAAAACATATAATGATACCGTTACATTTTTAGTTTGTAGATTTCAGTAATATGTGAACAATATGGAGGTTGTCTTTCAAATTTACTGTGAACCAAATTAACATTGTAGAGCACCACATAGACTGATACAACATCTATGCTATACAGTCTCTATTAGCTGGTACAGTTATTATCACAGTTAGTATTGTCATTGGCACTTACTGCGTTGGTTTGACAACCATGCATCCAATGAGAAAATGAAAAAAACATTCACCGATTCTGGGGCCTTGTCTTTCCAGGCCACAGTGAGGAGCTCTCTCTGCCAGCCCTGGCCTCTGCTTTGACTCTGCTCCCATACTGGGTAAACATTGTTATCAAGCAGCACCTTTAGTGTGCCCACATTATGGCCCACCACACGGTAGTTGAAGGTGAGGCAGAAGCTGCCTTGCTGGGCCCGGTCATTAAGAAGCAGCTTCAACCTGGCCACATCCTCCTGCTCACCTAGGAGCCCACTCATGGCCATGTAATACTCAGCACCTGAGGGAATTTTAGCACTTATAAGTAACTGTATCTAAATGCATCTCATCTAATATGTGAAATAAATGTACTTTGCTACATATTAATATTTTTGTTACCGTTATCATGGTAGACTACACTCCAGTCCATATCATCAGCTTTGTCTTGGATCCACTCACATGCTCCCTGGTCAAAGTTGCAATCCATGATAAACTCTGGAGACAGTATAGCAGTTTAGCAAATTAGGCATCCAAATAGTCCTAATGACACACAAACTGATATTTGATTACCTTCTTGAACTGGTGCTATGTGGATTTCTTTGATTTCTGTGGTTGGGCCAAGTACTGATTCAAAGTCCTCTGATACTGTGAATGAAACACTCAGTGTGAATACATCAGTTTTTACCGAGCTACTTCTTTAAAAAAAAAAAAAAAGATAAACGTCCTTATCTACAAATTATACACGCAGACAAAAAAATATCAGGTTTACACTCACAAAAATGTGACATACAGTAGAACTTTTTTCTTTTCCATATGAATTCCTAAGAAAATATGTGACCTTAAAATAACATTCCAAAATGATGTAACATGATGAAACAAAACCAAGAAAAGAGTTTTAACCAACAGGTGTTGATCTGTCCTGCTGTCACTTGTGTATCGAAATGAAGCATCTTAAGGATACAGTCCCTTAGGCATTTTAAAGCTCTTGCAGCAAATCACCCTCACGGGAAGCAGCCTTAGGCAGCTAGATGAGTGACAGCTGGGGTTCTTTAACCTGCTCAACCAAAGCAGGCTAGTATTAGAGAGGTCTAGAATGTTGATGAAAGACTTTCCTACAGGTCAAGTCTGTCTGCGCAACATCTGTTTTAGGGAAAACATAATAAAAGGCTCGGAGGCTTTGTCCCCTTCCCCCATCCCCTTTTGAGTAGATTGGAAGCACACCCAGGATGAGTTGTATCCCTGGGCTGTCACATGCCAACAGAGTAAAATTCCTCCCTGGAGGTGATGGGTGTCTTGGGGCCTGTCTCCTCTTGCTCTCTGAGATCTTACACAGACTTGGGTGTTTCCATAAAGATTAGTGGTGAAAGCAAACCTCATTTATGGGGTTTGTCAGTGAGATGGTGTACTGCTGCATGACCACACTACCCACTATTCTTTTTCTTTATCTGATGAAAGTGTCTGAAGATGTTGCCAGAATGTGTATAGATTATTTTTTTTACAGTGCTAAAGGATGTTACAGCAGGACAGTGACAATGCATGACATGACAAATCAGATTCAATGTGTCTCAGCAAGAGTCATATTTAAGTACAACAAATACTGAAAATTCTTCACTGTTTGTAACATCACACCTTCCAAGAAAAGTCATTTAGATATTGAGGTCAACAAGCCCCTTTTAAGCCCCAAGAACTACTATTTTATATTTATTTCAGCTTCCTCCTGAAAATCCAGTGATTGTGTTCAGATGCTGTGTAGACACAAGAGCAAAATCTTTTGTATGGTTAATGCTTTGCAGACCACTCAGATAAGACTACTAGAAAAAGATTTATTGTAAGGTAGCCAAATGAAATGACACTCACTGAAAACATCTCCTCTTGGATTGAGCTGGTTGTCTTCTACTTCCTCTTCCTCATCCTCCTCTTCCCCTGGAAACCCATCTTCTGGTCTCGCCTTAGTCTGGGTGCCAGTGTAGACCTCTTCATCGTAGTCAAAAGGCTGCTGGTGGATCTTAGGAGGTGGTGTTGTAACTGGTTCAGTGATAACGTTTTTAATATCCTCGTTATCCAGATGACCTCCCAGAATCCTGGGCCCAACTTGGGAGTCTGGGATGGCTGCAGACAGGAAGAGGAGTCAGATTAGAAGTGGTTTTGCAATCATGACTGGGAAATACGTTATGTTTCCAGGACGCAGATGTGTTTCTTGTTTGTTGCCATGTATTTTGCAGCTGCTATTCGTGTTAATCACCTTTTTGCAGTTAGCTACCAGTTCATGGCTAAAATACTATGCTTTTGGAGCAGTACTATAGGAAATGAACATGCTAAGGTAACAGGCATCTCCTGCTCCATGCAGATGAAGCATGACAGTAACATTCCTTGCCTGTAACTTAAACATAAATGTGCAAACTTTTGATTACTTTTAGTTCTGCATATCAAGGGCCATGCTGAGGATTCCAGGTCTCATATCAAGCTGTTTTCACTGTGAACATAGAACATATCCAGATGTGAGCAAGGGAAAGGGTCAGGAGAGGTGATCTTAAAAGTAGACAAGAGAAGAGGATGAAAGGGGTGACAGGCCAGGCAGCAAACAATGGATTCCACACAGTCTCACCATTGAGGAAATCATCTGCACTGCCTTTGTCGCCATCCCACGACCTCTGATAAAACGGCTTGGCTAAAAAAATATATAAAAATAAAGGCATCTTCATTTACACTGAAACCCCCGGCCTATACTTTTTTATGTCATTTGTCTACATGAAGTTTCACCTGTTGTTACCTTGGTCCGGATCAAACAATACAACACAACCTGTCTTACCCATTCTTCTTCAGATGGCTGCCTACCGTACAGTGACATATTTACACAGGTGTGTTTTCAATCTGTGACTCTGTCTTACTCTGATCTGTGAAGGGGACTGGAGTTTAAAAGCAGGAAACGGGCCTTGGCAGTACTGTTGTTAACCGATGAGATGTCCAAAAGAACATGGCTGTAAAATAGTTTCCGAGCTAAATGACTGACTACTCACATCTGGGAAAAGCCTGACATGTGAGTTTTTTAAAATTTATTGTGAATTGCTTTATTTTTTTAAGGCACTCCTAAAATTCATTCATTCATATTTCAGTGTAGTAAATCATGGATCTCACCAGAGCATTCAACGCCATTGCCTCTGAAGCCAGACTTGCACCTGCACTTGTAGGATCCTTGACTGTTCAGACAGACAGCATGGTGACTGCACTTGTGAGTGCTGGCTGCACACTCATCGAGGTCTGGAATTGGAGAAAGTCTGTTTGTATCTTTAGGAAAAGAACTGATTGATCACAAATGTTTTCCCTTAATAAACCTGTATACCTTACCTACACAGTCATATTTTCCATCAACATATTTCAGATCATAACCATCCTGACACTTGCAGTAGTAGCTGCCAAAGGTATTAACACATTGTCTGTTGAATGGACAGAGATTCTTCCCGGTAACACATTCATCAACATCTGAAGGGAAACAAAACAGGAGAAGAATTAAAGGGTGTGAAATGTAATGTTTTTTCACCTATTGTGCATACTGTACTTTTACCACACCTACCTCTATTTTTTGTGTGTTGGATCCATGATAATCATGAAATGTAATGCTCCTATAGTCATTAATATGTCAGACTGGTTCTGTCACAGCCCAAGCATTTTTATGGGTAGAACTGTAACTTAATTGCATCCAGCTGATTTAAAAGCCAAGTATACAAAAGCCACATAATAGAATCTTTACAGACTTTTTCCACTGTGCAAAAACTCCCAAACCAATCCAAAGTCAATCCCTGTTCACTCTGTGAAGTATTTTTGATTTAGATTAGAGCTATTGTTTTATTAAAATGTTCATTCTCCTTACATCATGCTCTAGCCTGTCTCTAATTATCTGTCATATTAGTATAATATTTAATATATGTTTTTTGCATTGTACTGTGCCACTGTGCTGAGTGTGGATGCTCACCTACACAGCTCCTCTCATCTTGCCCCAGTTGAAGCCCTGCAGATGGGCAGAGGCAGTGAATCTCCCCTTGTACTTCCTCACAACCATATTGACAGTGAGCGAGAGAGCACGTCCTGGAATCTACACGGAAGGGTAACAAACACACAAATATGCAAAGCTTGCAACTGTGTAACTCTCTGTGTTGCCACTTAAGGTATCTGTAGATTGAAATACATTTCAGTTTAATTTATGTGTATAGTGCCAGTTAGCAACAATTGTCTCAGGGCACTTTACATAATCAGGTCAACAAATCCCCCAGTTGGGAGGAAAAACTGGATAGTAACAGGATGGGACTCACTGGCACAAGATCCATCAGGCATTAAGGTGTATCCATTGAGACAGTAGCACTTGTAACTGCCATATGTGTTCATGCAGCGATGCTCACAGGGACGGGGTTTCAGGCCACACTCATTCAAATCTAGAAAAAAAGAATCACCCTTCATTTTCTAACTTGTAAAACCTTCTTTTCAGAAAGTTAAACATCTACGTTTTGACTTGGGAATTATTGAAACACGACTGATTACTGACTAATAATTAGAACATAAAAGAAACCACTTAAAGCAGGATAGTGACTGGAAATTAGATGATCCTGTTTTGACCCATGTTTTCCAAACTTTCACTGACCTCAAATACTCACCTTGGTTACATGTCTTTCCAGTGTATCCTGGGAAACACTTGCATTTGCTGGGGCCAACACATTCTCCATGCTTGCAGCCATGCTCACACTGGGCTGGTAAAACATTTAACGTGAAGAAAATGCCATCATGGACTGTAGTCAAACCACACATTTCTATTATGCAGACAAGGGTTTTCAGTCTAGAGTTTCATTTCCTCCTCATTTCCTGGGTTAGCAAAATATCTTTCATGAAAAGACATGTGCACCCTGCATATTCCTTTCTCTACATATGTTTTGGTCACTTAAAACACAAATGTGAAATGTGGGTGAATGTTTATATAAAAACTATTATTGATCACAAAACAGCCTTTGAATCAGCCTGGACCGTTCTTACCCTCACACTGTCCTTTGCTGTTTTTCTTCCAGCCATAGCAACACTCTAGTCTTCTGCCATAGCGACACACACCTGGCTGGTCTCCAGTAAGGACTTGTCTGTGGTGCCTTATTAGAAGAAGTTAAGAACAGAAGGTAAAATCTATCATTTTACTGTCATAACAATATTTATAATCCACCATGAGTAACACATAAATCCTTCAACCAATAAGTAAAAATTTATTTCAACAACAAAGCACTCATAGGTTTAGGTAATTACAAATTCAAATATATTCAGATACACAATGTTCCCAACACATACACAATCAGCTGGTGTGATGTACAGATGGAGATAAACGCACTAATCAGACACCTCTTGTACTGCATATTGATACCTCACACACAACCCTGTTTCCTTTTTTTTTAGTATCTCAGTTTTCATCTGACTCTGTTTACTAAAGCCAGATGAGAATTTACTGTATAGTTATTCTCAGCTGCTAACAGGAAGCCAGTGCTGCATTCAAAATAACCTACAGTACGCAGAGAGAGATTACATTGCATATGTATATTTTTACCCTGTAAATTTGATTAGGCTGTCAAGGTGCTATTTACCACTGAACAAGTAATAAGTAAATATTGGGGGAATCAATATCTGAATCATACATTCAAATGTGACCTCACAGCTTAGAGCAGCCTAACTCCCACCTTAGTGCTAAACTCAATATCCCAGATGTTTAGGTGTCTCAGGGGCAGCATCCCAAAGCAGCCTTGGCTCCACTGGGACTGGAGGAATCTGAGACTCGATAGAAATCAACCAGAATAGCCCACAGGAGAGGGGCTCCTAACTCTAACAGGTGCTCTTCAGTTATTAGCAGTTGCTGTGCCACATTTAGCAGACACACTGTCCCAGTCCTCTGTTGGCAGAGGCACTAGTGTGTACATGCCATTGAAACAACAGTTTCCCCTTTAAAGATTTAAAGCACATAATCCAGCACAAAATACATGAGAATAAAACAGAACCACTCTAATGTTACATACTTTTTATAGTGCATAGAAATCTGACATGATAGTATAACATCTTTTTGACTCTTGGCTGAGCAAATATCCAGGTAAAGTTTACACCTGCTGCAGGACTCTGGGTAGAAACACACCAAATGCTCAACTTCAGTGACTTACCTGTGGGCTTTTGCAGTACCAGAGCAGACACAAATCAAGAGACAAAAAGCACAGAGAAAGGTAAACGGCTGCATGTCTGTGACCGTGGGCAGCTGGAGAGCTTTCTTTCCCACAGGGCTGACTTTGGTTGCTGTGAGTCCCAACTATTCCTCTAAGGGGCTTACGTTCATTAAAATGCTCAGACAAGTTTTCATGTACTTCCAGAGCACACAGTCAAAGTCTCCTCCAGGGAAAAATATCTCTCTTACTCTCCTCAGTGCCACAGCTGAACTATGTATCCCATAATTTGCTTCCTCTCTGAAATTCCAGAGGTGGGTTGGCACTGTGAAATGACACTGCACACTGAGGGATAGGTTGTGACTTTTGTAGGTAGGAGTGTGTTTGTAAGGGGGGGGTGGGGATTATGTTTAGGGGTGCTCCTCTCTTCACTGAAACCCTATATAGAACCACATGCAGCTCTTTTTGTGGATCACCAATAGGAAATATCATACAGTTTTACCTACTTTTTGTTTCTCTTCTGCAGTAACAGCTTTACATGCCTTTGTTGCTCACTGCCTGTGCTGTATATTTTTTGGATAGTTAGCTATATCAGCTAATTTTGGACCTCAGACATGTGCAGGCCTGTCATTAGCAGCTGCAGTGCTCTTTGATGTCTTGCTCACAGGTAGCACAGTATGGCTTTGCTCTCTTACTCTTGCTAATTCTGAGCTCAGCCATAAAAAAGTTTAATGAGCTTTCATGCTTTCAAAGTCAGCCTGAACATCTGGTCTGCTTTTGAAATGGGCAGGTGGGGTTTCTGTGTGAGTTTGGGGGTTTGAGTTTATTGAGGAAAAGAAATTGCACATGTTTTGGATGAAAAGCTAATTTTTAACCTGAATTGAAAATCTGTTTCTTTTATACATTAAATGTCTACCCAGTGCCAAAAGAAGCTAAGTATTCCTCTTTGAAAACTGTAAGGGAAATTGTTTTCAGATGAGAAGAAAGTCTACAGTTAAACACTGTAGTTGAGCTCAACAATACAAGTCTGTGATTATTTTGCCAGACATCCACTATTCATGTCAGGAGGCAGAAATGTTTCAGCTTGCTAAATGATGGTTATATCTTACTTTGCTTATACAGTGAGAGGTCAAATCTAAGACAGTCCCATTGTTGCACCCATTTATTGCAACAATTATAAACATTTGAGTTTAGTAATACTGCAGAACACATCAGTGTAACACAGATATGCCTTAACATAGCAGAAGGTACATAAAAACAGTTAGTTCATATTGCTGAATCCACATAGAAAAATTCCTAAGTGGTAATCCAGCAGGATGCTTGGAAGGCAGAGGAGGTTAGGTTGTTTGGAAGCAGGCAGTGGTTACCACAAGTATGCACAGCTCAGCAGCAGTGTTGGCAGAGGCTCTGTAATATATAATATCCTTTAATAGGGGATTTCCAAAAAAAGGCCCACCTTTAACAACGTCATGTCAAAAGCTTTTATTGTATTCTTTAGGAGAGATTTATGCAAGCAGTGTCCTTCTCCAATAAATGATTTAGGAGTAAGATGTTGAATTCTTCTATGACAATTAAAGGGTTAAGAGGTGTATTCTGACAAAACAACGCTGCAGGCAATCCTAGGAAGAGCTATATGCTCCAGAATAACACACACACACACACACACACACACACACACAAAACACACATCCTATTTCTAGTCTGCAACCTGACCCTATATAACTGACATCTCAAGCATGTGGGTCAAATGTTCTATACATTAAAACTGCCTCTGTCTTGCTGCTGCAGTGTTGGTAGAGTGGGCACAGTCAGTGTTAGGGTGAATGTTGGGTGTTGGAGATTCATCTGCACACTACACACTCCCACTTGGCTTTGATGAAGCCATTTTTGTCACAAAGCAACACGCTCATCTGTCAAGGAAGTCCTGGCATTCAGACCATGGCTCCAGCTTTCATTGAGCATTGAGATTTCTGTGCAGCATAATGACTGTTTGGCTTAACAAATGTAACATTTCAAAATATTTTTGGCTGAAGTATGTGAATATACTATATGTTAAATGACCGAAAAGCTTAACGTATGGTAGTATAGAGTGATATGCATACTGAGTTTTACAAATGTCTGGCCTGATTAATTTGGCTATGTTTTGGTATTAAAAATGATATTTTTTTTAGCATTGTATTTAAATATAGAACTTTTTTAAATTTATTATTTGTGTAGTATATATACAATATACTTTGTGCTTAATGTAAAGAAATTGTCCCTCAAAAATAATAAAAACGAGTCAGTCATAACTCACAGCAAATTCTCAGTCATCCAGGTCATAGTATGCTGAAAAAACTTAGAAGAAGGCATCTGGATATAGTTTTAGGCAGAAAACTACGTCCAGATGCCTTCTTCTAGGTTTTTTCAGTGTGTTCTTTCCTTATTTTCTTAAATTAAGATTTCTTCCAGTAGGGGGAGACATAGTTTGGCACTGGCCAATAATAAAGAGCCAAAGGGCAGACAAAGGGACCACGTGTTGCTATGTAATTTGCCTGTAGTCTGTGCAACTGAGTTGGAGTTTTGTCTTTATAATTAGAAAATCCAGCTGTTCTATCACCTGGATTGCAGATGTTTTATTTGTACAAAAGAAAAGGATATTTCTTTATTAATGTACATCCATGTAGATCTGAACAGAAACCTCAGCTGTTTGCGAGTGAAATTTGACCAGCGGTGATCTGTTATGTACTTTTCTGTCACCAGAGGTCCCTGTCTGTCTGTCATATTTTCATTGACTAAGGAAAGCTGTGCTATAATCTAACTGAGAGTACAGCTTGAGCCAGTGCACAAACAGAGGTGACTATTTATTGGTCAGTGGTCTACTTTGCTATTTCCTGAAGATATTAAACATGGGCATCTAAAAAGTGGAGGGTTAGTTGTATCAATTTTACATAACTCTCATTTGGCTTTTCATGTTTTCTTATGTTTTAAATGTCTTACTTGCAGACATAAGTCATTTCATATTATAAAAAATGCATGTCTTCTTTTCAAGAAAATCATTTGTTTCTATGTGGGCACTCATCCACTGAGTCCTTCATTGTGGCCCATGGCACACTAAGCAAGGATTTTACTATAAAAGGAGAGACAATGCTGTTGAGTAGTTATTTTGAAAGTGATATGTGTACACAACCACATCCTGCCTTCAGTGAGAGATGAGATGAGCGGCGAATGCATTGCAGACAAAACTGCCTGCTGTGAAAATGGGTTGCCGATCATCATACTGTGCTACATACTATTTGAGACAATGTGTTTAACTACATTCGAAACTACTGTCTAGATTTGGCCAAATTCTATATAACAGTCACATTTCAAAAAGCTGTGTGCAACAATACTCACTGAACTTTCTTTTAAATATGCTTATCTGGCATCAATGCCGCTTCAAAATAGGTTTCTGCTATGTTGCAGTGGGGTTATTCTAAAACCCTAAATCTGATCAGACATGAACAGTAGCTTACAGCAGTGCAGGGACTGTACTGACTGGGGCTGTAACTTCACCTGCAATAATAAATGTGACCTTAAGAAATCTTTTTGACTTTGTGCGTGTAATTCTGATCAGGCTTTCACTATACCCCACCTCTCTAGTGCTAAATTTGAAAGTTCTTGAGCACAGAGGGTCAAACAAGTAGTTACAATGTTACATAGAGTTTGTGCACATACTGTCTTGCAAAAAATGTAACACATCTTTGAGGAACTGATGATGGTCAAATGTCACATAGTGGCTGAGGACAGAAAAAGGCTTCCTATAGGGTATCATTCTGATATTATTTCCCACAGTAAGTGTACAAAACAAGCCCTAACTATGATATTTCCACTTTCATCATGGTCTTTGCAGCTGTAGTGTTATGGCTCCATCCTTTGTCTGGCCCAGCAGAAGCCTTCTGTATTTCACACACAGCTTTTAAGTCCAAATGCTCATCTTCAGTGTGACATCTGCTGCCTTACATACATACTATACAATGACAGGCTGCTGCTAAGTGGGGTTGACCTTGGGGGATTCAGGTTGAGTGTGAGATCATACAGACACTTTTTCTCCTCAGCATGATGCAGGCTTTGGCCTCAGGAGGACACCTCCTATTCTCCTGTCATTAATAACGCAGTAATGGGCAGAGTGGTGCCATGCCGTGGGGGTGGCCTACAAGAGGTTGATGTGTGGCCCACCATTACTTATTAATTGTGATGAGCTTGCCTGGTCAGAGGCATTACAGTGGCCTATTAAATCTGTCACAAACCTCTTTTGCTGGCCAGCCTGCTGTAGGGCTGATGACGTTGCTTCACAGAAGTAACACTGAAGTACATCAGGTGCTTCGCTAGAGTTGTATCGCTGTCTTCCTGTATTAGAGGGGGACTAGATTAGCATCACATATACTTTATATATAAACATATCTACCTAACAATATCATGTTATATTTTTTTATTTCTATTTCTGCAAATCTATGGTTGGTTAATGGGGAACTTCCCCTATACACTCCTTGTCACATGACTCTATCTAAATCCATGCCCCATTACAGTTACTTTTATTATCCCACTTTTCAAATGAGGTGGTGCTCTAAAAATTCTCTAAACAATTTTTACAACTTTATCATTACCCAGCTATTGCTGTAAGGACACACAAAAGACAGGCATGACATTTTAGACTTCAATGAAATTTTTAAATTCAACTATTTGGGGTTGTATAATCTATTATTAAACTCAAAGATATGAGTGGAGTGTATGTATGCGTGCAAACTATGTATGTGGCCTAACAATTATGTCACTTAGTATACAAGTTCTTCTTTGTATTCACATGATGTTCGTGTTCTGGGCAGACAGGAATGAGGTTTATATGTTACACCTACAGGTTCCTCTGTAGCTGTGCATGACACGAAGCGGAAACAGACTGTGACAAAAGAAGACACAAATAGCAGAAGTTAGAAGTTGCAGTTCAGAAACTCTGGCTGAGACTTTGAGCTTATAACTTTCACATGCTGCTTTGAGCATTATATACACAAACACTCAGCTGGTAGTTCTTTAGGTAGCTAAAACCCATGATAGATAGATAGATAGATAGACAGACAGACAGACAGACAGACAGACAGACAGACAGACAGACAGATGATAATATGATGCTTTATATCTACATCACCCTATGTTTTTGTGTAAAATGAACACAT